AAATTACACTCTCAATGTAAAGTTGAATTTTTATCTTCTGCTGATAAATTTTGGCAAATATTCTGCAGCACGAAATGGGCAGCATTATGCACAGTGCTGAGTACTCAGAGCGACCTTTAGCTACAGAAGGTAACAGGGACTGGGGATTTCACTGGAGAGACATAAAGGATGACAGAAAAGACAGGTATAAAAACCAAGGAGAAGGAAAAGACAGACAAAATGTGGAACAACTAAAGACAGGGTAAACAGGCTATTATGTAAAGAGGCACATAAATGTTGTATAAAGCCAGGCAGAACATAAATGAGGAACCCTAGAAAAAAGAGGAGAAACTCTGCTTTGCGGAAAATGTCTCTTGTCAAGTAGAGAATACTTCCCTTAACAGAAGAAAGACTTGAAGTCAGGAGTAGTTTGATAAATCTGAGGCTTACTATACTGACATTTTCCTATAAGGATCAAAATTTAAGCTTCAATTTTTTCCCTAAAAATTCAACCTGTTGACAAAATACTGTACCAAGCAAACCTGTACACTTCCATGGAGAACGGAAACAAAGGTGACTCCTGTGGAAAAGAAACAGGTATCACATCATTAACGATGAGTGACTGCATCTATGCCGTATGGAAAACACAGGCCCAAAATGCCTGGCTGCAGAGGGTGTGCAGGAGGGACAAGGGAGAAAATGGAAAGTTTATACAAACTCTGGAAAAGGTATATTCTCATTCCTTTGGTAGCTCTGCCTCACTGGGAGAGTAGTGTTAGTACATCCCACCCCATCCTCCACATCTCACAGCTCTGCAACATTATCAGGAAATCTTTCCCATACTTCTAACATCACTTTGCTAATGATTATTAAACCTGGAATAATCCTGACCTGATAACTCTCTGCACAATCTGCACAGAGTTTGGAGGCTTGAGAAGTAGCTATTGACATTTTACTTGATAAAGGCACAAACTACCTGATAGGTGACTGAAAACTTGCAGCTACAAAGACAAGGAAATACGTGCATCAGAGCAGAATCATCATGCTTTGTATTCCCTTTTGCCTGCAGGTATAAGGTAACTGCAATGTTTATAGCTGTCCTACCATGGAAGCAGAAGCATTAGTTACCCAGGCGGTGTCAGTTACAGAGCTTCCCAGATAGCCCCTAAGTATGAGATGAACTTTTTATATTGCACTGTAAGGTTTTCCTAATACTGTATTTATCAATAGAACAAGCTCACACAGATCATTTTAAGAAGTTCAAAAATTTGTAAGTTGTTACAAGTCAGCAGAATGTTTCCTTTGTGACCTAAAACTTCTGTTTAATATTTCCATTCAGAAAAAATGTTGAAACTGTATTTAAATACACAGTTATTTTCCCTTTTATGGAGAAATTGGAACCATTTTTCAACAGCAGTCTATTTATGAAGATTGAAGGGTGTTATGCTGAGGAAACTCCATTATTAGAGAGCACTTACCATACACAAATGAATTAGAAGGAAAACCACACAAGTGAGTTTCTGCAGGATGCATTATGTTGGCAAATCAATGGAATTAAATGGCCAAAGAGGACATGACACATTCATATTCTTGGTAAAAGCAGAGTTTATAAAGGTGATGAGTAGCCGCATTTTATTTAGAAAAATTGTATTAGACGAAGTGAATGTCATTTAGTACATTTCAAAGCACGTCAGAATCATTATGCAAGTTACCTGCACCACAGCAGCCTTTTTGACATTTTTTTTTTTTTTTTTTTTTAATTTTAATGGCATTTTTAAGCTCCTGAAACACATGTAGCTACATGAGAAGCTACATTGTCTCCTTTACTCCACTGTGCTCAAATAGTTGTTAGTTACATGTACCTCCTTATCAAGGTGCTCACATTGTTAAGCAGAGTTTCAAGAATCCTCTTTCCCATTGCCTTCATTTGTTTTTCTCTTCTGCTTTATTTTGCATACATAAAGTTAGGCCATGGGTAAGCCTCTGAAAATCCTGCCTGTGCATGTCTTTTTCAACAGGTTTAGACTGACATGTGTACCTGTAGAGACCATAAAATACATCAGTGGTCAGTATGGACATCAAAGGTGTCACACACATTTTGAGTGATACTGAATAGAGCTGATATCGAATCAAGGCAACTGTGCATATTGGTGTTTCTTCCTACACAATGTGCTTGAAGGCTCAAATATTATATACATAAATTCAGGATTCCATTTCAGGGATCAAAAACTTCAGTGAGTTTTACTCACTGTTGCAGTAAAAGAAAATCTAGTATTTTTCTTTTCTGCAGGTACCCTAAAACCAAGACTCAGAATACTAATTTATAAGCCTGTTGCCTCTAGAAAGTCAGACTGAGCAAAGACAATAATCGCTGATGCAGAACAGAGTCCAGTCCTGTCCAACAAGTCCTTTTGTTTTGGACTTGCCTTAGTGTCAAGCTTAAGGCTGTGAAATAAGAGCAAGACTCATGCCTTCTGATTTTATTACTCTGGTGGGTACAAGTCGTATTCTGTCCCTACACTTTGAAAATAAGAGGAGCGATACAATATCTCACCCAGGTCAAGCTGCCACAGGCAATACGCACCACAGCCAACACATTAGCAGTTTGACTAATAACAACAAAAAACCCCCATGTAACTGCAGTATTAGACTACTGTATTAAGGTATTTACACCTACTGAAAGGGTGTCTTGATTTGAAGGGAAGGTGTATTTTTTTTTTCCCTATTGGAAAAGCTGAAAGAATAACTGGCTTTTTAGCTGAGTTAGTTTCCAAGTATCAGGGGAAAAAATGAGTGTGTTGGGCTTAAAATGTTTTGTGATTTTAACTTACCTTTCAAAACAACTTTTGAAAGATAAAGACAGAAATAAACTATGAAATGAAACCCTCCATAAACACTACCATCTGGACTTTTCTACTTTACCTTATTAATTTGCTGCAATTGAGAACATTGTCAACTTTCATTTATCTGCGTTTTTAGGCAATTTCTACTTTATATTTTCAGAATTGCTTCTTTCCCACCTCAAATTTTGTTTACAATTTGACAAATTATCTGTGGAGATGTTGGAGTGCGGAAGATAAAGAGCAACTTATTTTTATTCCCTCAAAAATATCTGAAAATAGTTTTATCCAACTCCTTAAAATCAGGTTTGCTTTTAAAACACAGATGCCACAAGTTCTTGACTAAATAAAGATCTTACCACCTTCTGCCCTTGCTGGAGATATGTATTACATCTTCTAAAACAAAACTATACAAATGGTTTATTTATATTTTGCTACCACCTCTCTTCCCATACAGGTAAGTGAATGCTGCCACTATATGCTGTTCTCCAATCTCTTACCAACTACCATTTAGACAAAAAATTCAATGTGACCTCTTCTCCTCAGATATCATTGAAAGGGTCAGTGGTGTGAAAGTCACCCCTGCTAGCCCTGAATTATACCAAAAAAACTCTCACAGAACTGCAAGAACTTGTATATTAATGCAGAGACAGGCCTCACTGACATCATGTGTATCGATTATGTTTGTAGATGAAGACGTGTATCCAGCTGAATGACCATCTCAGATGGAAGAAGCAGCAAGAAGGACATTGGCTTACATGCTTGCTTTGAACTTGCTGCTAAATTCAGAAGAGCCAGGACCCAGAGCTCGATCAACTCCCATGTGCCCCAAAGCAGATCTGCTAAAAGGAATGAATGTAGCTGGAACCTCACTGAGGAATACAGTAATCACACCAACGCTAAATTTAAAAGCTCTGTTCTAACACAAACCAAAAGTCAAGTCTGATCTGTAAGGCAGCCTGTGAAACAACACAGACAGGTAATTGCTATGGTTTCCAGCAGGCCTCATAGCTCAAAGTTTCCTGCCTTGTCTGTTGTCAGTTATCGCCCATCAAGGCTTTCCTTTTAAGAGGCATGGGTAGGAAGACAAAATAATTCTTCACTGAGTAGGGAACATTACACTCTCTCTGTCTTCAGTATATTCTTGAAATCAGCTGTCTTCTTTAAAAACAGTCAGAAAAACAATGTACAAAAAAGCAATTAAGTTTGTATCAGGAAGACTAGAGTGCATAATAATTTTTCACATGCAAAAAAATTTTAAAAGTACTTTCGACAGCAATTCAGTATTTTCAGTGATACATGCTAAAGCCGCCTACTGATCACTCATTTGAGTTAAAGATTGAGTACTTAGATTTAAGATCCAAATGAAAACTAGAAAGAGTAACAGTAGACTTAAGATTAAAAGGGTTAAAAAAGATTTTTTTCACCCCACATTCATTTACATTTTTGCATGGGCAAAGATAGCAACTGTAGGTAAAGCAGAGCATTACTTCTTTTGGAAGATAAAGCAAGTATACATGAAAAATCAAAACACGTTCATTCTAACTGATGGGAAGATGACCAAAAAAAAAAAAAATAGCCCAAAGCAAATGGCTTTTCCACCACAAAACAAGTTGCTGTGAGTTGACAGCATTCTTTCTCACCCTGCTTAAAGTTACAGATCTGAGACTCCAGCACAGACTAGAACTGTAAAACTCTCATTAACAAAAGCAAGTGTTTGACACAAGGTAATAATCTAGCACAGTATCTAGTGCTGTTCTGAGAACTCACTATCTTCCCTATTGCAGAATACAGACAGGCACGTCCTCCATTTCGTATGACAAAATGCCTTTCCTAAAATTTTATTCTTAGAAAAACATTATTGCTACATTTCACTGACACATCTGCAAGTGTTGGTCTCCAATATGCACTCAGTTACTGCTTCAAGGAATCTGTGATGGAATAGTTGGCCTCAGCTGAATTTAACACCTTTGAAAAGGCCAGTTTTACGTAATAAAAGTTGGAATTAAACTTGACGGGAAAAGAGCCTGCACAATCTGCTCTGAAGTCCGTATTGTCCTTGCTTAGTGTAGGAATCTGGACTAGACAACCTGCCAAGATCTTTTCCAGTCTGGATGATTCTCTCATATGGATCTCTTCATACTCATAGAAACTTTGAAAATATAAACCAGGAATTGAGTATTTTCTTCTTGCATGTAGTTTAATTCAACACGTTCTTGAACTTAGGAAAGTTGAGGAACTTGAAAAAGCCACTGTGAAGTCTACACAATAAAGTCTAACACATAAATTTGGATTCCTTTACATGCCTCTTCAGTGAATTACTTCAAAATATTTACAGCAAATTCTCATTTTATTTCATTTCTTCCACTCTATACACTAAACTTGCAATTAACATTATTTCAAAATAAAACTAGTTCCCAAGTTCACTATACTTTCCATTTCTATACTTACACATTTAAAATACATGAAAGTTAGATTAATAATAGCAAAGCAGACCTGCAAAGGATTTAAAGTCAGAACTTATGAACAGCAACACGTTTTCATTATTTTGCCATGACTATTTTCTGTAAGTGGCAATTACTATACAATGATTAATGGTTAAAATGCACATCAATTTACAGTATTCACAAACATAAGACTTGCCACATAGAAGTGTGGAAAAGGCAGCAACCCCTCGTATAATTTAAAAGTGACTCTACACATGCTTGTTTTATTTGCTAAACATAATTGCCTCCCACTTTCATATTTACTGATGAAACTAAGAAGGACTAATTTAGATTGACCAGAACTCATTTTCAGACTGAAAGTCTTGATTTACTAGGGGAAGAGGGGAAAAAATGGTAGATTTCAGTAGTTTGCTTGCACATAAGCAGATTTAATTCTGTTCCACAAAACATTTCATCCAGAGACTTTAAATGAAGGACATCAGTGCTAAATATTAAGTAGACAGATGTGTTAGATTATCTGATCTCACAAAAGAGAAGCTCTAGAAATAGTCAATTAACTTCTTACACTTTACATACATTTTGAACACTGATACTACATACATTTGTGTTATTCTACTCTTATCAAAGTAGCAGAGTAAAACTGAACCCTGAAGTTTTGAGTGGAAAGTTGACTAAAAATGGCACTTACATGTGCATACATCAGTTTCTAATTCACTTCATTCACACACTTTTGTTACTCTAAGCCTTGCAAACAAACTGCAAGACAGCCAAATCTGCATTCTGTGCAACTTTGTCCAGACCCAAGTTTTTGTTATTTTATACAAAGCAAAGAACTCCCCTCTCTGTCATCTTCTGCCATACTGCAGCAAAGAAGTCTTCTATGTGCCTGTAAATTGTGACATTTATGTCTACTTAAGCTACACTTACAGTTTCTACTTTGCTCACAGCTCCATTAACAGTGAAGTTGAAAACATTTTTAAAAGACCAGTAAACCCATCAGTCTCCTACTTGCAAGTTCCTACAAATTTAGAAAATAAATTCCTTTGCACTGGCTAGCAGTCCAAATTAAACGTGAGATGTGATGTTTATAAAGCAGATACTGAGAATTCATATCCATTCCTTAAGCCAGTTAACTGGTAAGAGGAAAAGTAAATCCTTGCTCCAACAACATTTGAAATCTGATTCCCTTCTGCGTGACTGCACATTATATATACCATTTGTACCTACGATTTTACATTTAAATAGTACTTTAATTACACTTCGGAATCTATATCCCCATTTTTAAAACAAGTTCTTTTACAGTGTAAGGAGAATCCATAGTGGATTCTTTAAAACTCATTATCTTAGCCATTTTAAACAATAAGTAGGTAAGTCAATCATGTCCAATGTACTAAATCCACACCTGAACAGATTAAGAAACATTTTGAAGCAGTGTCGAGTAAATAATTTTGGTAAACTGTAAAACTGCCACATGCAAAGTATACTGTACTATGACAGCTCCAAATCCTTTATAAAAACCTAGCATTCCTTCTTCTCGTTTTATAGCATTTATGCAGTCTCTCATTCCCTCATACTGAGTATTGATCGGAAGCACTTCATAGCCAAGGTCTGTGTTGTCAATTATTGTGCGTGTCCCTTGAATATGAAGGCGGTGTAAAACTGTTTCCAGTGGGTAAAGCATGATGTCAGCACAAAGACTAGCAGCAAAGCTAGCAATAAGTTCTGGAAAATATGCATCCAGCATGCTCTGCACAGAAGTGGAGCTTTCAGTTGGAAGGCTGTGGGAATTATCCTTTTTCAGAACAAATAAAACAAGCTTCTGGACAATGGAACTGATGACGTAGTGAAGAACTCCATGTAGAGCAGTTGGAAAAGTCAAGACCATCAGAGGAAGGAGACGCTTGCTATGGGGTACTCCCATGCCTACAACTCTGCCGATTCCTTCTTTCACGCAGTCCAGGATGCCGGGATTATCTCGAATTATTTCACTCTACAAGCACAAAGGAATAGTTACAACTTGTGCTGCCCGTTTCATAATCATGCTGACATCCACTCTGACACTTTATCATTGCTGAACTTTGTGAGAGATAAACATCTGCACGCTATCTATCTACATAGCTATATTGATATAAATTCTTTGCTCTAACACTCTTGATATCATTGAAGTAAACTTGCTTTTAAAAAAATGAACCCATCTTTAAGTGTCTTTATTTAGTGTACATTCCAGTTATTTCTGTTGCTATCAAAGAAATTCAGCTTTCAGCCTACTGCTGAAAGTATCAGTCTGCAAAACAGTCATGTACTGAAAATACCTACTTCTGGAACAAAATGCCAGGAAACATTTATCGAATTTAAAAGTCCTCTTCTTTAAGGACTATAACTCTAGCTTTTGAACTTGAATGTGCATAATAAAGACTTCTATAACTTGAGAGAACATTTTTAATATTAATTTAATAGGCTCAGCTCTGAACATTTCAATTCCATTATTTGCATCTCAAATAGCACTCTTTACCCATGCTGCCTCTTAGAAAAGAGATAATTACTTTGTTCATGTAGTGAAAATAAAGAATTCACTTAGTAATTATTTAATCCATTATACTCCACCTATTGCTGCAGAATTAAGCTAAAGACACTGTTTCCTTTATAATGCTTATATAAACTCAGTGTTTTGTCATCTCTATTACATGCGAAATTTGGGATTTGGGAGTTCTCCTCAGTGCCCAAGTCTCCGAGTCCATGCTGGCTATGTCCTGACCTCATGCCAGGATAAACCACCAATACACTCCTCAGTACTCTAGGGAAGCACTAACACCTGCAAAGCGTTCATGGTCACTCTGTGCAGAAGAGAAACTAGTTCAAGTACTTGAGAATGTAACACTGTTCCAGACTTTAAATCCAAGTTAAGCATTATAATTCCTACTGAATCCCCTTCTCCCTAGTATCATTATACTCCCTGCACTTCAAACCTGAGCTTGCTTTTGTCATATACGCCACCATGTGGTTTGAAATGTTAAAGACAAAAACAGTAATATGACAGCTACAAATTTCTACCATTTACAGTTATTTTGATGAAATATATTTACTTGGAGAAGTGTATCAAAGTAATACCATTGAACAGGACGGCTTATCAGAATTAACACAATCAAAGTTAATATAAAACTGTTAGCAAAAAATCCCACAATCTAACTTCTATAGTTTTTTTATATGTCATTGTCCTCTTGGAGCACAGCAATATAATATAAACCTGATAAGCCAAGTTGCCCTGCCTGCATAAATAAAATCTTCACAAATGCTATCATTACCTCTGTTGTGTTTCTAATAAGAAAGCTCATGATGGTATTTGCAGGAAATGGAAAATACATTTCATACAGCATATATACACCTATTCAATAACATACATACACAGCTGAACCTACTAAGCCTAAAACCCTTGGATCTCAGTGAAATTGTTTTCATAAGCAATGCTTTACAGTAATGATCACCTGTCTAAAAGGCTGCGGGAGATGCTGTTTTGGGGTTTGATTGTTTTCCTATTAAGCTGCTTTATAGTAAATAAACTTTACTACTTATTTTGCAAACAGAAGACAGGCTTCTAAATCATGCTCTCTTTTAACATTTATTGGTAAATATGTTCCCATTTCCAACAACACAGAGAATGTCCTCTCAGACAAAATACAAGCAGTAAGATACTTGAATAAAACATTACATTCCGTGGACTGCTATGAACTCAAGAAACATGAACAGTGTTCTGCTACTGTTTCTAGTTCCAAGATTATGACACAACCAGGGTAAAGCCGTTTCCCAGGACATAACAGTTTCCTAAGTCAGCTTCCCAGTATAAAACCAGTTAAATCTTCCCAAGACTTCCACGAACTCAGTGATCCACTCAGGCTGGATTTATGGAACATTATTTTCAAAGTAATTCAGAGAGAGGAAGAGGGTTTCTTAAATACAGAGCAACTTTAAAGAAAGCGAGTTTGGTTTTGGGAGTCTATCTCCACAGCCCCTTACACAGACATTTAATCTCACCTGTCCGGTCAGTCCACAGTGTGGCCAGTTCAGATAGAACAGCCTTCTTAATACCTTTTGGCTCCTTTAAGTTTGGATCCTCTGCACAGAGCAGAATCCTGTCCCTTAAGAGTACTTGCTTCTAAAGTACATGTTGAAACTAAGAAACTATAGAAGTCAGCCTTGGTTGCCCCTTCTCCACAGAAAAACCACCACTTTGTAAACATACACCAGCAGTTGAACTCTAGGTTTAAACAGCTGGATCTAAATCAGTCTTGACAGTATTACAACTTGTCTGTGCTGTGAATTAAAACTATTATTTTGATGACTGAATGACATGAGAGTGACTATTTTGCATGACCCTCTACATCAGAACTCACTTTTCAGTAAGAGTTCCATTAGCTGCACAAAGATACTACTGTGTTAATTAAGAACAACTCATTATATACAGATAGCTGGAAGAACTACCCCAGACCACTTCTGCATAGCGAAATCCTACCTCCTTCTCCAGAAAGAGATGCAACAACTTGCTGAAAGGCAGTCTGCAATACAGTGCTATGGGTTACTCTGTACAGTTACAGAACAAGTTAAGCTGTATCCTAAGTGCCAGGTCCAGATATTTATCTTCATGACTAAGGAAGAACTAGATAAAAATTTAAAAGCAAAAAGCTGACTGAATGAAAGCAGTCCTGAAACAGTAGTTTCAGTATTTTAGAAAAACAAAGCTGAATTAATGGAAAAGTTTTATAGTTGTTATAGGGGAAGGGGTCACTGCAACAACTTGTCTAGCAAGTCTTTTAAAACCTTTACATGAGAAAAACTTCTTTATGGTTTCTCTGCTAGAACATACAGGTACAACTTGCCCTTATTTCATAGGCAATATATTCCAACTACCTGTATTAAATGTGCTTTCTAATTCTAGACTTAGACTTAAGATAGTACAATTAATATACCCATCATATTAACTGAGATAAAGTATTTACTAAGTCATACAAAACAAATACAAATACTGCAGCATAAACCCGAATCCAAAGCCAAAGACTCACTTCTCCACATAATCTAATCTATAAAGAGTAACAGTATTTTTTAAAATGTTGTAAATGTATGTAAATTACCTGTACAGTTTCAATCAGGCTTGCAGAATAAAAAGGCATTGCTATCACATGCGTTAAACTGTAGAAATTAACAAGATGAAAATTAAGGTCATGACAATACTACAATTTTAGCCAAATATGCACCTGAAAGTTGATAAAGTATCTAACAAGTGATGCTTGAGAGTAAAATAACCATAACTCAATTTTTAAAATGCGCATCAACAAGTTGAGATAAGCTTCAGTCTGAAGTTCTGTTAAATTCTATTTTCCTGTGACCAGACAGATTCAGGTGTCTGATACAATAATTTAATTACTAAAAGAATCTAGTATTTTAAATTAGCCAGGTACATACAGACACAGGAATCTAGTAAGAGAAAATAATCTGTGAAAGTGGTGTATGCAATCAAGATTGTTCAAAAAAAAAATCAAAATTTGAAAATTACTATTAACACCCTGTCAAGTAACCATATCTGCAGATTAACTAATGTACATTTAGTAGTTTTATTAATGTTTAGATAATAAGACACAAAGTAATAACACATGCTACACTTACCCTTTGAGTAGAAGGTGTCCACCTATCTGCTTGAGGTTCCATTTATGGGAAAGCTCCCTAAAAAGAAAAGTATTTACTGTACTGTGGATAATTAAGCATTATTCTCAAGCATTTCTTCCATGGGTGTTAACATAGAGTTTTCATATTGGTGTTCTACTATTGATTTATGTTGCAGGGTTTCCCACAGTGAAAAGACATCAGCAACACATCTAATAAATCATGCTCAACTTTTAGAAGTTATTTGGGCCTGATAGATATTCTAACAAAAAAGCTTTCAATTATTAGTATGGTGTCCGCAGCTCTCACAGCTACTGGCTTTAGTGCTTTGCATTTATTTTGCCTCCTTATGTACTAACTCTTAAAGCCATTTTCAGGGAATATGGGATTATTTTAAAATCTCAGTAGTTTTCCTTTATAAACATATATTTTTCAATTATGATTTGGTTTGGTTATGCTTTTTCTGTTCTTTGAGGTTATGTTTATTCAGTTGTTTCTTTCCTGAAAACCTAAATCACATTCTGACACAGTTAGACATGACCAAATCATATGCAACAGGTCAGACTAGAAGCTGCATAGTAATTCTGTACAGACTTAACTCAAGCCTTTTGGCTTATGACCAGTCTTCAGCATATTCTGGTAAAATAAAATAAAACCTGTGAGTTTAATACAAAGGTGACTAAAAAAAATCTGCTTGAAGTAGTATCTTCTAGTTACACACTTCAAAATATGAACAGTAAATGTTAACTACACTCCACTTGACAGAAAATGTAATCCCACCTAGCTCAAGATAATAAATATTTAAACACCAGATGTATTTACCATACATTTGGTAAATACTTTAGCTATGAGGTCAAGATATTTGTCTGACATGTTGGACACACTAGACTCTGCGTTTTTAGTAACACAGTATAAAGTGTTCAGGTTCTATTCTTACCCACTGCCTGTAGTTACAACAACTCTAAACCAAGAAACAAAACTCTTTCTGAAGAATTGTGTGTTATTAGTAGCCATCCCTTTCCTAAATACATAGGTCAGACACTAAAGAGGAAGGGAAGATCATTTACCATTATGTATTTCAGACACTTGGATCACATCCACTGAGCGACAATATTTAAGACATGGAAAACGAAACCAGACAAACTAACGTGTGAAAGCCTAACCTGTCAATTCAGTAGGTGTAACTATTCCAGCATTGGAAGAACAATTACAGAATGAGTTTGTCTAGTACAGAATCACATTCAACTTCCCAGAAAAATGTTAACACCCACTGCTGGGCCCCTCTCCTAGAACAGGGGGCATTCTTTTATGATATTATGATATAGAATTGGAATCGCTTCTCACTTTCTTGTGTTCTCTGGAGCTTGATAATGTAGATAAATAACCTTTTAAATCAGATAGCTGGCACTGTTGCTGTAAGCAATAACCTTCACCTTCCCGCAACAGCCCAAATGTGCACATGACCTTTAAAAAGGAAGGGAAAGCATCCAGTAGAAAACTGCAAGGGGTGGTGCACATACAGGACAACCGTTTTAGACACATCACTTCCCCAATCCAGTTCATTTTGTGACTGTTCATATACTGCATTGGCACAAGGATGGGCGTAGCACTGAGGAAGGAGTGAGCAGGTACTAGAAGAAAAGATCGCTTCTTTTGGCGGCACCACCAGCTTACTTTTCAAACTACTGAACAACTGACTAAGAAGAAAATCCTTGCTCACACTAGACAGAGATCAGAACTATGAACACATAAACACTGTATCAACCTCATGAACTTAAGTATCCTCTACAGCAGCATTTAAAACCAAGAACAACTCACACTCGGAAGAAAGTATATGCCTAAGAATTTCAGTTACATGAGACAAAGCTGACCAAAAAGCTTAAATACACACGCCATACAATTTAAGTATGAAATGCTTTTGATAATGCTTCTGATGAATGCCAGAACCTGCAAAGATGTACTTTTATTAGTATATATGCAGGCACCATAACAGTAGTTTGATTCAGACTGCCTACATTTCTCACCTTTAAAAAACAGATCAGTTTGCATGTTGTTCAAGTGCTTGGACTCTGTCCACACATTAAAAATAGGCTCTTGTCTCTTCTGAATGCTTACACAATTCTGAAGCCCACTGGTCCATTCCAACTTAGCCAGCCTTAAACCCAATTACTTGCCTGACTCCCTAATATATCTTCCAGGACAGGTCTTTATCATTTTACTGGCTTCAATGCATGCCCTGCAACGGTTAAGTATCTTTTCCTAGCTTTTGATTATCTCACAGTCTCCTTGCATATCTCTAAAAGTTTTAGTTACTTCATATAATGAGCTCTCACATAACCTGCTTACTCTTAAAATGGCTGTAACAAAACTGACAATATATATTATCACAGTCACCAGCCCTTACTGTTAGCTCTGTACAATAATAAAACAAAACATTGATGAGAAGTCTTCAGACTAAAATTCTTGATCAAACTTGTATCTCAAAGTAGAAAGACATCAAAACATTTCATTATAATCCCGAAGTTATCGTTCAGTAAAAAAAGTAGGCAGAGTCACAAATAAACATAAAAAATTATTACTAAACTACTATAGCCGAAGATGGATACAGTGAAGTAGAATGGTGACGATCTCTAAATGAAGGCACTCCTATTGAGTTGTAACCCCCTTATAAGAATACTGAACAGTGTACGTATAGCTGTTGGTAAAGGAGGACAGACAAAGCTGACAGCCACACGGACTTATTGACCATGTCTTCTCATTTATTAATGCGTGCCATTCTGTTCTCTCGCCTACTAAAGACAGTGAAAATGTTCAGCAAGATGTCATTGCTGGCTCATCAGATATGTAAACTTTCCGTATTTAGATTTAGGAAACTAGGACTTTTTACTTTTTTTGCTAGAACCACACAATTTGAACCAAATTACAAAAAGAAACTCATGAATGCTTTTATTACAGTGGAATTGTACTGAAGACCAATTTGCTACATTATTTCTGTACTCAGACCAGTAGGCAGACATACCAAACATACAAAGATCCCAGAAAGGGTTTCTCACCACTAATTACAAGGTTATCTTGGCAAAGGCAGCCACACTTCACTGAAAACACCTATTCAAAGTCTGACTGTTCTCATCAAGTAAGACTTATTACTTATGTTCCTAATGCTTTGAATATTAAGTCAACAGCTGATGATCAGTTTGTTAGAAACAGTAAAAAAAAAACATGCAATACCTTGGCAAAGGTGTAAATTCACTGATAATGCCTTCTGTTCCCAGGGTTATGCCCTGAACAACAAAAGTGCTGCCCATTCCTTTCCAGAGAGCTCTTGGACCCTGTGTTTTGAAATATGCAACACATTCTGATTCATGCAACATAAAACCCAATGATCTTTTAATCTTACTATTTTTTATAAAATTTCAGTAAATTCAGACTGCACAGGGGCTACAATTCTTCCATTAAATTTCACTATCACCAAATTCAAGGGCTATCTTTTTATCTCTGAAGAATCTTTTGCTCTTCAATAATTTCAAACAGTTGTCAACAATTTTGGAAGCATCTCTCCCACCCTTAATACTCGACACTGTAAACTTAACGCCGTTTTCTATGAACAAAATGAGATGGATATGTTAAAGCACATCCATAAGAATCCATTTTCAGGCAACTTCTGTCTTCTAGCATCTGCAAGTCTTCCCCACTAAATGCTATACTACTAAAAAAAAAATAATACACACTGAAATCCTTACAATGGCCATGTTTTTAACCACCAGTTACATAAAGATTTAAAGATGTCAGTGTACATATGTGCTATAGTAATCTTCACTGCTCAGATACACTCTGACACCAAATACTGACCTGTGCCTTATTGATGCTGTACATAATATTGACAATAGTAAATGGAGTGAGATGATAATTCCGAGCATGATAGTTAACCTGTTAAAAACATAAATAATGGCAATTTTTTATAAATGGCACTATTTTAAATAACTGAAGATGTTAAAAAACTAAAGGAAAAAGCACTTTCAAATTAAGGACTTTATTTCTCTAAAGGTCAGTGAAAGAGATCAAAATATGAATAAATTCTGAGATTTATGGTAACATGCAGAACTTAACTATTTATATGCTGAAAATGTAAAGAATAAAGCAAGCATAATCCAGGAAATATTGGAAACATAGCGTTCTGCTTGTAAATGGGGATCTGGAATTTGCTCTGCAGACTCTGAAACACTTACTTGCTGTAATTAGTTTTGCACTGCCCAAACAAAAATGAGTAAGAATGTTCAAGATAAGTTAAACACCAGAATGGAAAATATGTATACTCCAAACAAAAACATGCTAATGTAGCAGCGTCTCTCTAAGACTTATACAGCTTCCTTATACTCTGAGTGTATGACAACAGAAATATCACACTACACAGCTCTGACTGTAAGAGGTAATAGAAGAGACATACCTGACACTGACGACGCAGAACAATGCAAGGATGTGCCAACACATTTTCTGTAAATAGGCTTTAAAAAAAAAAGTGTATTTAAAGCATGAGAAGCCATCATAAATTTATCAGAAAAGGCTTGTTATTTTTCTCTAACAACATTAGATTAGTCTTTGGAAAAACTATACATTATCTACTGAATTAATGAGACATTTTGGATGGCTACCTGATAGCCTGCCAATGCTACAACAGAACAAGTATCAAAAAACCTGACATGCATTCACTATGAAAAAGCCTATATATATAGTATGTATGTGTTTTTATTATGCAAAACTATGTACCAAATTTCTTAAACTTTCTCTGAGCAAATATGAGGAAACAAAACAGTTCAGAGCCATAATTATGAAAGAATTAGTTTCCAGTTTTATGTTAATTCCACATACCACATTATTAATCAAGATTGTTCTTAGCAAGGCCAAATAATTGGTATGAACAGCTGACTTTTTTTAATCAGAAAATGCCACTGCTCAAAACTAACTCTCCCTCCACCTCAAGAAATAATATTGCAATCAAAACCTTCAGAGGAAGGTTCTCTCAGTTCTAAAGTAGGATTCCTGGTCACAGCCACGAAGAGAAACTTTTAATTTAATTTCCAAGTGCCTGACTCAGAGTACTCACCTGTATGCGGTTCAAACCTGGGATACAGATTAGAAAAGCAAAACCTCCAGGCTTTATATAAGCATCCTGAATAACAATGCTGACTACCAACCTACAGGATCATCTTGGGTAGGTCTCTTACCAGGATTCTACTCTGGATAAACAAGTACTAACCATCACAGAGACGTACTGAGACTGCAGTTTTCTAACTATTAAGTTACTTAGTAAGTTTGTTACTACCAAAAGAGGTGAAACTTTTCCTGTACTCCAGCAGCTATCTATAAAGCCCTCCTGGTAGCCAACTCAACTACCCTCACAAAACCAGCTTTTCTTTCGGGTGTTTTCTGACCTGAACTGTGTGTCTTGACAAGTGATCTGGCACAAATTCAAAAGCAGAAGCAGGGAGAATTGCTCTCAGCAATGATACAGTGTTGGTAAGTTCTCTTTCCCAAAAGCACACGCTCATTTTACTCCAGGTGGCTGTGTCTCTCAAGACGTGGAAAACTTTTGTCATGCTTGGTTAAATCAAAGCATACAGTTCAAAAGGACAACTGAGCCATACTAACATCCCTCTGCTACTGACCATTAACGTGTTCCTGCCCTATGGCTCCACTCCTTTGCCAGTGCCCTCCTCAGCTCATTCAGCTTGATAAGGGTGGCAAGAAATCAGGCAACTCTTTACATGTGTGGGGGGGCTAGTTCTTCAGTTTTAACAAACTGAACAAGCTCATCAATGAGTCTGAACAAGCAAGCTGAGGCACTGCAAGGGAAGCAGTGGGCAAAGAGGGACAGGCAGTTTCATGAAATGGGGTGATCTAATTTAAGCAACTCATTATTTGCCAAAAATGGTAATTCCTAGTCTTTATCTCCTTTATCCCTTCTCTCTCTGTTTCAACTAGCTGGTGTCTGCTGGCTTTCACAGCTAGTCAACTCCCAGGTAAATCAGCCTAACTGAAACAGCAAAAAATAATCCAGATGACTTCATCTTCTGTTTTGGTGAATCAAACAGGTTAAAATAGATTCTGATGGGCATCATGGGTGATAACAATGAGGTAAGGAGCAGGACAGGCTGGTGGTGAAGTAAGAGGTCCTCCTCTTTAAGTACACTGTAAGAACCTCAACTGACATAGCTTCCCATGTTGGCCTAACTGGGTAAGTGACAAGTTCTTACGAGAAGCACTTTTCTCTGAGAAGTCTCACATTCAGGTTAACAACGAGTAAAACTTTTTTTAGCCCTAACTTTTTCAAGGCAAAAACGCCTACCTGCCATGCTTTCAGAAGGTGCACCAGTACACTGAGCAAGAAAAACTTAATCAGGTGAGTGTGATAGAGCTGACATCCTACAAAAAATCCTAAACTTATCATGATCCTTACACTTGCGTCTGAAAGTGTTGTTACACATGGTAAAGCCCATAATTTTCTGAAAAATATTATCAATAATCAGTGTCATCATAATAAAAACAGTCATCAGACCACTTGGCTAGACCAACATTACTATTCCAAGATACTTTAATAATATACTCGGAAGGAAGACATTTTCACCTTCTTAGGAAACACTTGCATCACCTAAAAATATTAGTAAAACGCACAAATGTGAAAACAGTTTTCTGGTGTTATTTTCAGATTGCTCTGATAGGATACACATATCCTGGGCATACTGTTTGAAAAACTGTTTCTTATATTCACCGCTGATTAAATAATTTTGAGAAACACTTCAGTTAAAGAAAACCGAAAGCTACATGGAGTTCAGGTAGTAGGTTTCTTGAGGTATTTCAATTGCACAAGTCTACTGGCATAAAAGCACAACACAAAAGGGTACATAGGAATCATAAGACACCTATAGCTTTATTACTTCATTATCACTCAAAATTATTACACAACTCTTACCTTGCAAGGCCAATACCAAAGCCTGCAAATCTGTTCAACTGCTCTGAAAAAATGAAAACAGATTATACAGCAGTGATAATCAGAAAGTGGGAGAAAATGCCATGCAGATGATCTGAAAAACTAATTATATACTGTACTTGCTTCAGAAAATTACAAGCACCAAACCACAACATTTATGACAACTCAGCAAGAGAAGATATAAAAAGTATTCCCCAAGGAGTATTTGCACTTTGGACTGAATTTGAGTTTGTATATACTTTAATAAAATCGTTCTTGTCTTAAAACAGCTACAGAGAGGGGGAAAAAAAAAAAAAGACAAAGTGAACAGTAAACCAGAGAATATTTTAATATCTAAAAAAATCTAACTAAAGCCAACGACTAAAAAAGTTAGCATGCATGACAGTTTACAACAATTCTGAAATAAATTTAGATATCTGAGGTGAAATTAATTTTAAACCCCAAAACAGTAAGAAAAGAAACTTTGGGAAAAGTAACACAAAATGCCATTGATGACATAACAAATGCATAACATGATGTAAATTCAAGTCAACTGTTTATCCTCGTTCCTTTGCAAAAATCTAGTTATTGGAGAACTGTTAAAACTGCAACAAGAGTAATGGGTTCGATCCTCTGTTGTCTGCTACCAGATAGACATCTACATATTGGAAATTATCAGAAGAGATTTTAAGAAGAGTATCAGAACTGTAAAAGCAACTAAAAATTCATGCACAGTGCTATAATCTACAGGGTGCAAGCAGGCTGTAAGCATGTGTAATACTGCTAACTTCAGTGGAGCTTTCCACAGATGTGGCAACCCTCCTAAGAATGACAAGACTGTCTCCAGTTGCAGAAGCTAAACTCAGTGACACAGCAACCTCTTATCAGTCCTCCAAAATGCAGAATCCACACACCCTCCATGACTAGATAGGACACACACAAAAAAAAGGTAGAATCCAAGTATTTAAGTAGTGCTTTACGTAGTCCTCGCATGGATGGAAGACCATCTAAGGGCTGTACTCATTATAAGACCTGAACAAAACCACTGCACTACAGATCGAAAAAGAAGACTCACTCATTACCACAACTGAATTTTAAATAAATTAGTATGTCATAAAACTTTGATACTCAAGTGTGTATAAACTGCCCCAGAACACCCTTTTAATGAAAGGAGACAATGTTCAGTAGCCTAGACTTAGCAAGCTTAATTCACCTTAATTTCGCAATGACATAAACCAATACTTCTAAAGGCTCCTGCTCAGTTTCCCAACGATTACTGGAAAAGACCTGAACACAGTTGCTTCCTCAAGTTCTAACAGTTTCATGGTTCCTTCACTATCATGCATGGAGGGGGTTTTACTTCAGCAGCTCGTGCCGTACCCCTTATACTTTTTCAATGTAACAATAAAGCAGCCAGAAGACACGAAGTCTGAAATATCAACACCGACTAAATAACAAAATATACTGTAAGACCCAAAGGTACTTCCCACCCTCACAGAAGACGGAGTCTTTCTGCAGGGTATCATTTACAGGGGCGATGGGGAGCTGACCACACGCTGTTTAACTAGAAGCTGCAGGGCAGAAGATGAAGGGCGCATTCTGGCACTCTCAACCACATTTGCGTGTAACTACGGAGTGCTACACAGCGAAGCGCGTGCTGGAGCTCAACAGGCGATAGAGGAGGTTCTCCTTCTTCTTCTTCCCAAAAGCACTTTTTTCCTGGCGCTTCAGCATCGCCAGCCCGCGGCTGCAACGCGCCTCCGAGCGCGGCGCGGCGGCGGTGAGCGCCAGCACACCCGCCCGGCGCTCCAACGGGCGCGGCCGGGCCGCGGCACAGCCCACAGCCGCCGCCTGCTCGCCCCTGCTCGCCTCGGCGGGTCACCCGCTCCCGGCCGGGGGCCCGGGACGAGCGAAGGACAGGCGGAACGGCGAGCAGCTGGCTGCCCCGCCGGGCCGGGCCCTCCCTTACCGGCGCCGGGGCCGCCCGCTCCGAGGCCGGGCTCATCGTTGAGACTGGCGGCCCCCAGGGGGGTCCCTGCCCCGTACGGCGGAGTCTTCTCCCCCCAGTGCAGGTTGCGGCTGCCGGGGATGTCGGGCGGGCTGGTCACCCAGTGGCCCAGCTCCGAGGCGCTGCCAAAGGGCCGGGCGCCGGGGCTCGGCTCCTCCCGGCGGTAGCCCAGGCCGTCGAAGCCGTCGGGGCGCCGCGGATGCATGGCGGGCGGGCGGGCAGCGGCTGCAGCGAAGCACGAGCCCGGCCGCCCCCCCCCCCTCACTGCGACCACCGCTTCCTGCCGCGGAGCAAGGGGACACGTGACCGGGAAGAAGGCGGGGGCCGATCGGCCGGCTGGACCAATAGTGTCCCTCCTCCAGACCGAGGTCAGCCGGGGAGGGCGCGGTCCTGGGCTGGCGGCGGAGGGCGGGCTAGGGCGCCCCCTGCCGCTCTGGCGGGCCGGGCCGGGGCGGGGAGAGGGAACCCGCCTGACAGCACAGCTCCCCGCCCTTTTCCCCGGCCGAAACCGGTGAGACCCGAGAGTCAGGGGCCACCCGGCTCCCTGTGTGCAAACCAGGTGGTGGAACTGGGAGCTGAGGCTGTTAGTCGTGCTGACAGTGCTCGCGGGCCTGGGCAAACCCCACAGGGGAGGCAGAAGAGGAGCGGTCACCCACTAGATGGTGGGTGTCTGGCATAACCCCACCACTCCTGTTCCCTGAGCTTCCACTCCTCTCTTTTGACCTCCTTCCCCCTAAAATGCTGGTTGCTGTGCAACCTCCTGACTGAGGAGAGATGAGCAGGGTCACCAGTGGGACCACTGGTGTTTCCCCTTCGCCAGCTGGAGAGGTTTCTGACCTGAGGCAAGCGGGGTCAGGCAGCGGCTGAACACCTTCCCTGCGGCCTTTGTGCTCTCTCAGCTCCTCTTGCCCAGAGAAGCCTGTCAAGGTCTCCCACACCTCGGTCTTGGTCAGACCCACAGCTTTTCCTTTTCTCATACACAATGTTAAGCCAGCATTAGACTGTTCAACTTTAAATGTAGTACAGGCTGTACTTAAAGGAGTCATCCACCGCTTCATGCTTTTCCTTTGTCACAGCCCTGTCTGACTGCACAGTGTGCTTGGGCATGGTTTATTTTTCTGCTGCCCTTAAATGCTAGCTTCATTTTATCGGTAGAGCTTCTGGTGTTTTCCAGTAAGCAGGTAAAGAGCCAGCATCCATGTTTGACATGGGAAGAGCAGAGCTCGATAAAGCAACAGCACTTTTGTCTCTCAGTAAGACAATGACCACACAGAGCCTCTCTCTACCTCCATTTTTTATTGGGCCAGGACTTTTTCCTTGTTAACTGAAAGTCTGCTGGGAACGTTGTGTTTTAGTGTTGTAATCTCAAAAATATGGTCAGAAGAACCAACTCCCTCTGGAGCCTGGGATCATGACACTACAGCTTTTTTGGCGGGGTAAAGATAATTATCCATATTAAAACCAACCAGGTTACTTTGGTTTCTAAAACAGGTTCAGCCTGGATCAGGTCAATATTGGAATATACATTTCTTTAAGGGTATATAGTGATCTGATCATGCAGCCTTACGCATGAAGGAATTGTCTCTGAATCTTACAGAAACAATGGATTTGAGAGAAAATTCTTCCCATTAAACAACAGTGTATTACTGATAAAACATCCTACAGTAGGAAGGTGACAGCATGAACAATTAAAATGTCTTACAGAAATAAAGGTATAACATAGCTGTGCACTTGTTTGTTACACACTTTTTGTCCCCTGTAAAGCTGTGGAAGTCATAAAATCATAGAATAGTTTGGGTTAGTGTTGCCTTTTGGAGGCGTGGCGACCTGGTTCAGGAACGGCACGGCGACCGACCCCAGGCCGCTCGGGCCATCAGCTCACAGACACCGAAGTGGTGGATGGCAAATGGCATTTATTGTCATGTGGCACACCCTTATATAGCTGGGGTGTACAACGTCACTTCCGTCTGCTTACATCACAAGCCAAACGCCATTGGCTGTCCGGAGAGGGGTCCTACCTTTACGTACAGCGCAACATCTTCCGACCGCCAAGCCTTAACTACCTACATTTCCCCCCCTCTATGCTTAACTAAATTGGCTAAACTGTAAAAACTTTAAAAAGTGTGTATCAAAATCTCAAACAGAATACATAAGGCACACTGAACAAGTGGTAACTGGGGGGTAACTGGGAGTCATGGGGTGTAACTTGGGGTAACCAGGAATAACTGGGACATCATAACATAACCAACAAGAACTTGTAAGATTCGGGTTTGACTGATTCAGCGACCGGAAGGTAGGGAACTCCCCAGGTGTGAACAGGCTGCTTGTTGCCTCGTCGTCTTCTCTTACCACGGGGGCATACAGGTTCCAGTGGTGTCTGATAATCCGGTCCTGTGGACAAAAACTCACAATTTTCGTTAGTTTTATTCTGGAGGTCCGGTTTAATGGACTTAAGCGGACACCACTTAACTTTACCATCTTTTGGGCCACTGCTCAACCCACACTGGGTGGGACGACTTCCATGTAAGTGGGTGTGCGGCAGTGGCCCTCACGATAAATCTGTCACCCTGGATTTTAATAGAGCTAAAGCGTCCCTTCCCAAAAGGGGTGGGACTCCTGACATGACACGTGGGAAGAGGGTAATAGTTTTCTCCGGTCCTTTTTCAGTGTGAAGCTTTATTGCTACCAATTAATCACTCTTTCGAGCTCGGGTTAGTCCTCCGACACCACCCACCATGGGGGCATCTTCCAATTTCCAATGCGGGGGCCAGTTTGTCTCAGGGGTAACTGTATCATCTGCTCCGGTGTCGATCAAAAAGGGAACACTAATGGTGGTATCATTTGAGGTATTATAAATGGAACAGATCCCCTACACCACTGGCCGATTATCCCATTTTACCACCAGGGCCACCCTGGGGTTTCACCCCCCAAGGGGTGGTCTTTTCTGCCCCTGAGATAGGGACAGATCCCGCTGGACCATTGGTTGAACCACAAAGTTGGTCGCTTCTCGAGGTGGCAGTGGGTTCTGGGGCATCTCGCCCCATCTGGGGTTGACGTAATTGTTGATTGGCATAGAGTTGGGCCGCCCCGTGTCCCAGGTGGGAGTGGGCTGTGCACGGCTCAGGTGCCCTCTCCCCCTCCTGTTTCCCTGAGTTTTAGATCTGCATTCCTTGGCAAAATGCCCTTTCTTCCCGCAGGCCCAGCACGGTCCTCTGGGCCGGTTTTGGTGCAAAGGGAGTGCTGTTGGCGGGTCCCCCAACTGAGGACAGTTCGCTGTGGCGTGGCCTGCCTGGCCACATTTAGAACATGCCATCACGTTAGCTACTGCAGTGCAAACAGCCGCCTGGACTGGGGATAAGTGCTCTTCATTTGTGACATGCTTCATCATGTTTGCGCTGCTTGACCCTGCCGGCAGTGATCGCAGGATTTCTTTGGTTGCTGAATTGCACTGCTGGTGTAAGCACTCTGCTACCACCGGACCTTCTGCTTCTGCAGGCAGGGTCGAAGAGTCGACCCCTGCTTGGAGGCGATCCACAAATTGTGTAAAGCTCTCACTTTCATTTTGCTTTATTGTGGCCCATGGCGATGGTTTGGCAATAACTCTAGAGGCTGTGCCAATGGCTTCTCTGGCCACACCAGTAGTTGTCAAAATCTCATGGGCCTGCAAGCCCTGGGCTTGCACCTCGGGGGTAATCATTGTCAGGTCTGTACCCATGAGCCGCTGTAGGCTGGAGCCATGTAGCGGGTGGTCCGCCCCGGCTCCTTGGGCCGATCGCCTCGCGCAGCTGTCCTCCCATTCTTGTTTAAAAGCCATCATCCCTGCCCTGTCAAAGATCAATCTACAAGTTTGTTTTGTATCGAATGGGAGCATGTCATCTCCCCCGAAGACACCGTCTATGAGGGTGGAGACCATAGCCGAATTAAGCCCTTTATCCGCAATTGCTTTAACAATCGCTTGTGTATCCTTAGGGTTTACTGGCGAGTAGACCCTCTGTTCCCCATCCGTCACTCGGGCCGGGAACGCCAGCGCGGCCGATGGGGCCCAACCAGCGCACGCTATCTTTATTTTCCTCCAATCTGTGAGAGGGGTTTGTCCCCTTCGCGGCTCCCCTTTAATTTGAGTAGGGATGTTTTGGCTTTTAGATCTGTCTATTTCCATTTCCTCCTCTTCTGAGTTTGAATCGGTTGCAGGCCCCTCGCCCCGGCCAGTGTCCGATCCACAGTCGGAACTCGACTGCCTGGTTGCTGCTGGGTTCCAATGCCCTTTTGTCGGGCTCCGGCCCCGCCCCCCTCCCTCGCGGGCGGGCCCTTCCCTCCCTTTTGGCTCGCCCCGCCTTCTGTTCGGCGGGATGTTTGCCCTATAAGGGCATTGATCCAAGAGGACGTTCTGATTGGTCCTCCGCCCCTCTCCTTTTCGGTCGCCCCCACCACCCTTCTTTCCCTTCTCCGCCCCTTTCCATTTACGCGCCCTTGTTCGTTCTAGCGCTTTCTCCCTGTTCCCGCCGGGGACACCTTCACCTCGCCTTGCCCTTTCCTGCTCGGCGCCATTTTGGGGTGCGTAGGGTGGTGGTCTAACCCAGACTTCCTCAGACTCCAGTTCCCCCGCAGCGCCCCTGGCCTCGCCTAACCCACCCCAGAAGGACCCTGCTCGTCTCTGTCCCTCCGTAAACGGGTCGGGGTTCGGGGATTGGGGGGGCACATCACCCTCCCACAGATCCCCAGGCTCAGCAGAATCGTCATCGCCTGGCAGACACAGAGTCCGCGTGGCTGCCCCGACTCCCAATCTCGGGGTGGCCGGCAAACCGTCCTCCGCCGCCCTCCGGGTCTCCTGCGCTTGTACTGCCCCCTGCAGGGCCTGGATGACTGTCCCCCAGAACTTATGTAACTGTAACACGACCTTCACAAGGGCTTCCATCCTCCTTGCTGGTCTGGGAGCGTCCTCCCCGCCGGGCTGGTCCTGCCGCTCCGGCCGCCGTTCACCCGATTCCAGGCGACGTTTTTCCCGGGTTTCGGCATCACTTGTTGCCTTTTGGAGGCGTGGCGGCCTGGTTCAGGAACGGCACGGCGACCGACCCCAGGCCGCTCGGGCCATCAGCTCACTGACACCGAAGTGGTGGATGGCAAATGGCATTTATTGTCATGTGGCACAACCTTATATAGCTGGGGTGTACAACGTCACTTCCGTCTGCTTACATCACAAGCCAAACGCCATTGGCTGTCCGGAGAGGGGTCCTACCTTTCCGTACAGCGCGACATCTTCCGACCGCCAAGCCTTAACTACCTACGGGTTACAAGGGACTTTTAAAGGTCATCTC